AGTGTCGCGATCAGAAAAGGATTTAAAGGGGGTTAAGGTTCGGGGAGAGTTATTTCTCCCTCTCCCTTCGATCCTCTCATGCCCAAAGCTCCACCGATTAAATTGCTTCCAAAGTTGTTCGGGAGTTTGATTGAAGGTTGAATCCGTGTGGGGAACGCTTAAAGGTTAGTTTTGATGGTTAGGGTTTCGATTTTTCATCTCTTTCTCTATTTTCGGGGTTCTCATGGAGTTTCTCCATGTGTTTAGGATGAAATCCGTGAAAAGGAGCGCTTCTTGATGGATTTAGCGTGTGGGATGTCAATCCGAGATAAGGGAGGACTCTATCCTACTCTTTTGCGCATGAATTGTTGTTGTTTTGCTGAATATTGTGTTGTGACTGAGTTAGTGGGTAGGAAATTACTGAGAAATGTAATGTGGGTCAAGTGTCGTGATGTGTGAACATTATGTGTGTTGACCCGAAATTGATGGATTGTATGTAAACGTTGCATGATACAATGAGGGCATGTATGTTGAGTGTTGTGAATGGGTATGGGCACTTGTGCCGTGTATTTGAATGAATATTGTGAAATGTGGGCTCAAGGGCCTGTAATATAAACAATAATGGTATGCTATGTGCCGTGTGCTGTGAAATAGAATGTGGGCTGTGTGCCGTGTGTAAGCATGATTACTGCATGTGTGAATGGAATATGTGTGATTGGGCGTATTAGCGCCGTTGTAATCTGCTGTGAATGGTTCAGCGATACACTGAGGGTATGAAAGATGAGGACGGTAAGAATACCTTGGGGAAGAAAGAGTGGTGGTGACACCGACTGCGGAATGTGTGCACCATAGGCCACACACTCTCTTCTTGATTAGACCTCTGACCATTATATTTGCTGAGCGACTTGTGAGTGTCAACGTGGTATCCGTGAGGCAGGGGTAACCGGCGACCATTCATGGTATAAATCTGTGATCACAGTACTATAGTGAGTATGACTGGTATGCGTATGCATGGATTTGTGTTTTGTACTTATGGATGTGAATTGCTGCCTGTGGTTGTGTTTGTTGAATGTATTGGGAAGGTTCTGGAGGTGAGACTCTATGTTGACTGTGTGTTTGGGTAGTGTAGAGTACTCACCCTTACATTCATTTTTCAGGTAATCAAGACAATCAGCACCGGGCTCAGTAAAGGGGTAGATGGAACTGCTATAGGACTTAGGATATTATTTTGAAAAACTGTTGTATTAGAATAAGTCCTGTAGCAACTGTTTGATATAATTTGTAACACCTTTCTTTATTTGAAATGGTTGATGAAACTTGAATTAAAATTGGAAATTTTATTATTTCAAAAATTTGCAAAATTTCTTATTTATTAAAATTAAATTTAAGGTGTTACACCCATGCCCCTAGTCATACAACCTCTAGTCCTACAACTCTATATTAGAAATTTTAAGTCTCTATTAGACATCAAAAATTAAAAAATTAAACCGATTAAAATTAGAGTTTTGTATCAAGAAAACAATGATGCAAATTATTTTCTAAATGGATGCTTCAACCACTCGCAAAGGCCAAAAAACTGATAATGCTAAAGGGAGACAGAGACAGGGAGATAAGAGAAAGAAGAAATAATGGAAAGTGAGGAAGAAGAAGGAGTAAGCGCGGTTTTGATGAGTTTCACACATTATAAACAAAAAAATATGTTTGTAAATGGTTGAATAAAATGGTGCATTTTAGGAGTTCAATTACGAACGAGTTTTTCTGTCTGTAAATTTGCCAAAGACCATTATAAATGAAAAAAATCTGTCTGTAAATAGGCAGATGAAAAGTCAGAAAAAATGACCGTATTTACAGATGGATTTTTCCATTCTGTAACCTCTGTTCTAAAATTTCTACTAATTTTCAAATTACAGATAAATTTTTCTGCCTATAATTTTTTGCGCCAAGTGGCAGACTATAATACAAACAAATAATATAGATGAATTTCTCCAAAAAATAAAAAATATAAAAAAAATGAATATTCGTTTGTAAATTCATCTGTAATATAGACAGAAAAAATCTCTGTATTATCCATCTATATAAAGTGTGTTGCTGGTAGTGAAAGGCCTAGGTTAGATTCTAAGTAATGGTATGTCCATTAGGTTCTAGCAGGATAGTTGGATACCTAATGTTCAAAATTTAATTAGTTTTGCCCCTTAGCCCTTAAATGAGGATGAGTTGGAAGAGCTTGTGGCTCTGTTTTCCAACCATGGTTGCTGGGATTGGCTGAAAATCAAGCATGTTTTGCCTACTCCTATTTGTAACTTGATTACTTCAGTTGATTTGCCTTTGTTCTTTGATAACCATGATCAAGTTTTCTAGAGATATGCAGTTAATGGTAACCTTTCTATTAGTTCTTCCTATAACCTTATTTTTTATTGTAACCAATATAAATCTAGTAATAACCAGCTTTTTAAACTTATCTGGGACTGGGAGGGCCTCCCTAAAATTTTTGTTTTTATTTGGAAAGTTGCTCATAGAAAACTTTTAACCAATGAAGAAAGATTTAAACGTAATATAACTACTTCTTCTTTGTGTCCTAGATGCAATGAGGTCCTTGAATTTTTGATTTATGTCCTGAGGGACTGCTGGTGGGCTAATCAAATTTGGTCCAAATTGCTACCCTTTGATAAATAGGTTTCTTTCTTTAGCTTTGGCCTCTTTAACTATCTTAATTTTAACTTGTCAAATAAATACTTTCCTTAGCAAGTTTTTTGAAATTCTCTTTTTGTTTTTGTGACTTATAACCTTTGGCAAAATAGGAACTATTTTATTTTTCAAAACTCCCCCTTATGTAATGACGCTTTACCGCATAGAATTGTTCATGAATTTGATTATTTTTCTCTTTGTAGCAAGGGTAACTTGCATTCTATTTCTGGTCTTTCTATGCATCATGATCACATTAGATGGCACCCTCCCTTGGACAACCGGTATAAGCTGAATACGAATGGATCAGTTTTGCATGGTTTGAGTCATACTGGTTATGGAGGTCTTATCCAGGATCATAATGGAATCTTCATAGTTGATTTCCATAATTTTCTCACCTGTTGTTTGTTGCTGAACTTTGGAGAATTGCTTAAGACTTTAAATTGGTCATCTTTAAGAGTATTCATGTTATTTGGATTTATCGTAAGGAGGCTATTTCATTAATTGTGAATATTCAGAATAGTAGTTATCTTCTTTTTTTTAATTCAGAAAATTAGAATTCTTCTTAGATGTATCAAATTTGTTAAATTCAATTATATTTTAAGAGAAGCCAACCAATGTGCTGACTAGTTAATTAGGTTAGAGGCTTAAGTTGGGCTAGAATTTCGGTTTGATGGAGCTTCTTCTTCTCTTCTCTCCCTTCTTAGACTTGATTCTTTGGGATATTCTTGACCTAGACTTGTTGGCTAGCCTGTTTGTTATTTTTGGACTTTGAAAGTCGCGTTCAATAGCAAAAGAACAAAAATTTATAGAGGTTAACATGTAAAGATATAGTAAATAAAAATAATTTAAATTAAATATTATTACTTTCTCAATTACTACACATAAATTTTGATTTTTTATTTAGTTTTGGTTTAGATTTTTTAATTTTAAAAAATTTATCTCTTTAACTTAGTCTTATTTGATATAGTAAAATGTTAATTATTATAATATATATTTATTTTATGAAATTTATTAAACTTGAAACAGCTCATGATATAATTTTATTTTTAATTAAAATAAATTCTTAAAGAAAACTGCTAAATAGTATGAAAGATGATTATCCAAATTTTGTACGAATTTAATTGTATTTTTTACTGAACAGATATTAAATTAAAAAAATATAATACAATCTTTCTCAAAAATCACACTAAATTGCTCTATAAATTGTTTTTGTTTAGTATTTGTGCAAAAAATATATATATTATATAGCCTTTTTATTCTTAAAAGTTATAATAAAAATACTATTTACATTACTTTTTTAGTTTAATCTTAAAGCATGGTTAATATAATTTTTTTTCCGTAAATTGTTACAAAAGTAAATAATTCTCAGTTATATGATTGAATAATAATAAAAATATAGGACAATATATTTTTATTATTATTTTTAATTATATAAATATTTTTTTTGTTAATCTCAATTCTTAAATTTAAGTTTAAGTATTTACAAATAAAAAATTTTATAAAAAAAAATACAATTATTATATTAAAATTATAAAAATATAATAAATACTTTTTTCTAATAAAATTTTATTATTATTAACTATTTATTTTCGGTCAAGAACTTATATTTACAAAACTTATGAAAAAATTTACATAAAATAAGCTTTAATCATAAAATTTGTTTAAAAAACTACACTACATTAAATTCATTAAAATTCAAACATATTCAACTACACTACATTAAATTCATTAAAATTCAAACATATTCTTGTTTATTTGATTAAGCTGTTTCAAAAATTTGGACTATTCTAATTTAAAATTAGTATTATTATTATTATTATTATTATTATTATTATAATATAAAGATATCGTAGTTTCAGAAAAAGACATAAGAGACATACACATTATATTTCAATAATAAAAAATAAAAAAAATTATTATAATTTAATAACAAAATTTTAATATTATATGTACATAAAACAATTTAAATTTTTTTAATATATATATTTATTAAAAAGATAATATATTAAATATTTTTTAAAAGTTATATTAATTTTAATAAAAAACAATTTTATCATTTAATATAATTTATATGTTATTTTATTATTATTTTTATTTATCTAATGACTTAATATTATTTATTTCTTTATCATAATATATATTAAATGTAAGATAAAATAAAAGCTTACACTTTTTTTTATCTTATTTTATCTTTATTCACTTTTTTTACAATTATCTTATTTTTCCGTAGTCAAAGGGGTCTTTAACAGTATTAATATATTTAATTATATTAAATTTTATATTTTGAATAAAAAATTACTGATATAAAATAAATCCCATCTGCATCCGTAACTGCTATTTAAAAACCCAATTATCGATCAGTGGTATTCTAGCTCCCGTTTTAGGGTTCTTAGGGTACAAAAAAACAATTCTGAAATAAATCTCAATCAATATCCCCTTGGCATTTGTAGGGTTCCCTCTCTCTCTCTCTCTCTCTCTTTTCTCTTTCTTCTGTTCGGCTTTGATCTAAATCGAAACCTCTTTATTTTTATTTTTTCATGTACTCAATTATTGGCACATGTCTTCTTCATCTTTCCCATCCGCTTCGTTTTAAGTTTTGGGTTTTACTCTGAGAAAGAAATAGTGTTTTTTGTTTCAATTTGTTTTCATATTGGTTTCTTTTTTCTCTTCGCTTTTCATGGTGGATATGGATGGGTTTGGGGCTGGGGTTGATGTTGAGGGGGCTCCCAACACAGATGATCCTAGACCACTAGGGAATGTTTCCACAGGTTTGCTTCATCTTCTATGATTACCTTCTCTCTCTTGTTAACCCTTTCGTTGATGGCTATTCGTTTTTGTGTTCTTTGATTCAACTCGTTCGTATAGATCTGCTCTATGTTAGCAATTATTTGATTTGAATTATAGGAAAGTTGACCCATTATTTTTAGTATGGGTTTCATATTTTTGCGTTTCAAGTGTTGGTTGGTAAGATTTTGCATGGCCTGCTGAGTAGCTGAATCAAAACCTTCAGCTGTAGTTTAAACTCTTGCAAATTTTAGAGAGCTTACCTTTTTTATTTTTCAACATGAATTGATATTTTTTGGCATCTTTAGGTCTATGCTGTTGTTGACTGCTTTAGTTGATGACCATAGTGTTTGGTGGCTGCATAATGGTTCTCTCTGTCTACTTTACTTTGGTTGTTGATTCAGGAAAGTCTAATTAAGTTAAGAGCAGTTTCTCTGGATGTCAATGCCTGGTTTTAAAATATTATTTTCATCAATATCTTTCTCCATTTCAATGAAAGAGTTGCTGCACTTCCAACAATATTTTCGTGCTTTTCAAAATTAAAATTATTATGCCATTTTCTTGGCTTTAGATACTGAAATAACTTTTGTATTTTACCAGTGTATTTTTTGACTTTTTGTTATTTTTTGGGTGGCTCAGTCACACGGGAGGGCTCTGCTATGTGCCAGAGTGCATCCTGTACTTTTAATGTTAAATAGTTCGAAGAAATTGTGGGGGATCTATGATTGAAAATTTTTAGTTCTTTGTAGATGAAGCTGTTTTTGATGCATCGCAATATGCATTTTTCGGTCAAGATGCTGTCGTTCATGAAGTTGAATTGGGAGGGTTAGAAGATGACGATGATTTGCCTGAGTCTAATGAGGAGGAGTTCATTCTCAATAGAGAAGAGGTTGATTTCACCATTCTTTCCACCATTTCTTTTAAACTTAAATTTTTTTGTGTCACCGTCCAGAATAATTTGAAATATAAACATGTAGATTTTATGGCTTTTACCATAATCCCCCCCCCCCCGCCCCAAAAAAATAAAAAAGAAGAAAAGAAATCAATGTATGTTAATTGGGGCTAGTCATTTATATTTTATGGATATAGTGCTAGAATTTTTGTTGACTTACATTTTCTTTCGCTTTGCAGGCTGAGGATGTAAAATCTCTTTCTGATATTGATGATCTTAGCACTACATTTTGGAAGGTAAGGCAGTTAAATTTTGATACTACACACCCTCTTTGAACGTTTAAGATTTTGTTAGATAACTGACTGAATATTCTCGTGATGACAATATCTTAATCTGCATGCATTCATTAAAAATTGATAAGTTATGCATTTATATTTTACATAAAAGTATATATTTTTTGTAATTTGAATGACCTGTAATGATCCAATTATGAGTTAAGGCATGTGTTGGAGAAAGAGGTAAATGTGGACATTATGCTGTTAATGATATATATATATATATATATATATATATATATATATAGTATTAGTTGTTTAATTTGTATGTAAGATTTCTAAATAACAGTCATCCTACTATGCGCTATCCTATGTAGCATTTTTGGCTTCAACTGCTATGTGTCACTATCCAAGATTGATGACTATGTCATTCCTATAAATCAATATGGTGTGGATCAAGCAACTTTTGGATAGATGAAATTTTCATCACATGTTTAATTTAGAATTTTTCTATTGGATAAAAATGTGGCTTATCTGTGTTTCTGTTTAGAGTTAGTAACTTAGTATGGACCAAGGAGATAAATCATATTGCTGGTGATTGATATTGTGGGAGAAAATTATGATATGCAATCTTGTGTTCATGGATTTTAGACTTTTGAGGAAAATTGGAAGAGTTGGTTAAATGAAATGGTACTCTTCTTAACACGATTCTTTTGGCATTTCAAGCTTATTCAACTGTATATGTCATCAACTAAACTGACAAGTTCTATCCCAAAGACTCAAACACAAAATTTAGTTCTTTTATCCTTTTTTAATGTGTCCCTTATGTGCTCACTTTTGTGATTCAGTTTGTTATAATTTTGATAATAATGCTCATCTCTAAGAATGATTATAAAGATTCATCCTTTTTTTATTTGTTTAATTTCAGTTGAACAAGGTTGTAAGTGGACCAAACAGCACAGGATTTATTGGTGAACGGGGAACAAGAGAAAGTGAGTAAAGCAACTGTAAAGAATTTACCTGTTTGCTTTTTCTTTTATCAAAACATAATAATGACCCTTGTATGCATTAGTTTTAAATTTTTTAATTATGTAACATTGTAATTAATGTTCTTCCATTATACTTTGATGCTGTCTTTTGCCTAGTAGTTGTTTGTATGAAGTGTAAGCTACGAACTAGCTGTTAGGCTTTAGAATTAATACTTGAAAGCTGGAATGGTATATTTGGAGTTGGCCTTTGTTTACCTTGAAGGGAGGTGGGATTCTGAATTGGTTGAGGACATCCTCAGCATGATATGATTTACAATACACCCCCTCAAGCTAGAGCATATATCATATGACATCAATCTTATCACAAATCAAGTGGCTTAAAGATCCCAACAAGACTTCTGTAAGGATACGTGCTAACTGATTAATAGTTAATAAACTCAATGGTGATCCTTGGGAAGAACATTTTCCTGGACAAAGTGACCATCAATTTATATGTATTTGGTCCTTATGTAAAATTAGATGTGAGACAATAAGTAAAACTACTTGATTGTCATAATGGAACTTAATATGATCAACATTTTGAAACTTTGTACTCATGAACTAATATGATCAACATTTTGAAACTTTGTACTCATGATCTAACTCCTTTTCCCACTCTATATGATTTTACAAGTGGCTGTTACCATTGCTTGTTATTGAGCCTCTGCAGTGGACCTAGCTACCACATTTTGGTTCTTACTTTTCCAAGATACAATGTTATTTCTTTTCTACTTAAAAGATCATCAAGTCATGAATAATGTTGTTGCAGAAACCCTCATCCCCCTTTTCATTAGCATAGATTGATCAGACCCATGCTATTGCTGGTTATAGACCTATGCTTGCACGCAGAATTTTATATTTTTTAAAATTTAAGACAAGGTGATGTATGTTATGTGTTCAAAGTGACTGTTATTTGGGCTTTTTGCAGTTTTATTCCTCCTTTGTCTCTGTTTGCAATCTGTTTTCACTTGACCTAAATTATTTATAATCTTATACTTTATTCAGACTCTTCAGCTGATTGGGCACACAGGGATGACGTTCTTAACTGGTATGACCAGAATAATTATGATAGTGAAAGTTCTCTGGATAGCAGAAAAGTGTCATCACAGCCTCGTTCTTCTCTTTCCCATTTGCATGAAGCAAAGCCCTTGTACAGAACTTCTTCATATCCTGAGCAGCAAAGACAGCAACAACATCACCACCTTCAACATTGCTCTAGTGAATCAGCTCCCAATTGGTTTGATCAGCATTTTTATGGTACTGAAACTACTCAGGATGGCAAACGATGGTCGTCACAGCCACATTCCTCCATTGCACACTTACAAGAGTCAAAGCCCTTGCAGAGAACTTTTTATCCTGACAAGCAGCAGGAATTTCCTCATTTTTCAAGTGAACCAATTTTGGTACCAAACTCTTCATTTACTTCTTATCCTCCCCCTGGTAGCAGATCTCAGCAGGCTTCTCTAAGTCATAATGCAGGCCACCTAAACATTCCTTATCATGCTCAGATGGCATCATCACCTCAAAATCGTTCCCATTTCTCCAGTTCTGCACTACCATTGAGTGGATTAAACCACGGGCCACCTTTTAGTGGAAACATGCGCCAATTTCCTACTGGTCCCCCTCTTAATAAGATAATACAGAATCAATTGGTAAACCAGGCAGGGTTATATCCTGGAGATCATCCAAATATTTCCTCAGGTATTCCCATGATTAACAAATATGACCAGATGCTTGGGCTGATGGAACTGAGGGATCAAATGCCAAAATCAGCTCAAATAGGTAGACAAAATATCCGGTTTTCTCCACAGGGTCTTGATATGATTGGGCAGAGAGGCAATAGTGGATGGCCCCGATTTAGGTCTAAGCATATGACAACTGAGGAAATTGAGAATATTCTTAGAATGCAGCTTGCAGCAACACACAGTAATGATCCATATGTTGATGATTATTACCACCAAGCCTGTCTTGCAAAAAAAACTTCTGGTGCTAAATTGAGGCATCACTTTTGTCCAACTCAAATAAGGGAACTACCTCTACGACCCTCTTCTAATGCTGAACCACATGCTTTTCTTCAGGTCGATGCTCTAGGGAGGGTTCCATTCTCATCAATTCGCAGGCCCCGTCCTCTACTAGAAGTTGATCCTCCTAATTCCTCTCCTGCTGGTAGCCCTGAGCAGAACATTTCTGAGAAGCCCCTTGAACAGGAACCAATGCTTGCAGCTAGAGTCACCATTGAAGATGGTATCTGCCTTCTTCTTGATGTGGATGATATTGATCGTTTTCTACAGTTTAATCAGCTTCAAGATGGTGGGATTCAGTTAAAACGAAAACGGCAAGGTCTTCTGGAAGGACTTGCTGCCTCACTTCAATTAGTTGATCCACTGGGAAAGAATGGACGTACAGTTACACTTGCTGCACAAGAGGACTTTGTTTTTCTCAGGATCATTTCTCTACCCAAGGGTCGAAAGCTACTTGCTAAGTACCTTCAACTGCTTTTTCCAGGTGGTGAGCTAATGCGAATAGTCTGCATGGCCATCTCTCGTCATTTAAGGTTCTTATTTGGTGGCCTTCCCTCTGATCCTGCTGCAGCTGAATCTGTAATTAACCTTGCAAAGGTGGTTTCAAAGTGCATCCGCGGAATGGATCTCAGTGCATTAAGTGCTTGTCTAGCAGCAGTTGTTTGTTCTTCTGAGCAGCCTCCCTTACGTCCCCTTGGAAGTTCTGCTGGAGATGGGGCTTCCCTTATTTTAGCATCTCTGCTTGAGAGGGCAACTGAACTTCTAACTGATCCTCATGCTGCTAGCAACTACAATATTGCAAATCGATCGCTTTGGCAGGCTACATTTGATGAATTCTTTGGTTTTCTGACGAAGTATTGTGTGAACAAGTATGATGGTATCATGCAATCATTCCTCATACAGGGGACTCCAAATATGTCTGTCATTGGACCTGATGCTGCAAAAGCTATTAGTAAGGAAATGCCAGTTGAGCTATTACGGGCAAGTCTACCTCACACCGATGAGCGCCAGAAAAAACTATTACTTGATTTTGCTCAGCGCTCTATACCTGTAGTTGGATTTAATGGCAATTCTGAGTTACTTAGATAATTGGACCTTCATTGCAGGAACTGTTTTCAAAATAGAATGACAGTAATTTTTATAGGGACAACCTTGTGTGTCTAAATACTTTGAAGCGGTCTGTTGTGGAAGTATCAGGTGCATCTACCTTAGGAGTTTTAGCCCCTTCATATCTTGTTATATTGCCATAATCAGGCCCATTGTGTATTATCATAGACTTGGCTTGATTTGTTCCTCTTGTCTTGTCTTTTTTCTTTTGACAGGGGAGCTTCTTGTTACTCAGTTTGTGGTTTCTAGAGCACAGTTAGTAGGTAGTAGTATGTCCGGGTTAGGTTTAAGTTGGATTCCCATGTTCCTTTATATTATCATACAGACATGGGATTGTGGTTGTGTTCATACTTCATATCTACCTTTTTATTGGTATCACATGTCCAAATTGAAGTAGCATTGTGGGGTGCACCATTTTAACCAGTCAACAAGGTGGCATTGGCATGCCTAAGAATAAATGTTAACCTTGTGTCGTGGTTATAGTTTCCTCTCCTTAATATTCTATTGGTGTAGACGTGTAGTTTTTTCTTGTATCATAATTCTGTTTCAGTAAATTGGACTATTATTGGTCTCTTTGTTGTCCTCACCTTGGTTTGTCTTGAATATAATGTTCTACTTATGAATGATTTTGGCAATTTGCTGTTGCACCTGGCTACTATTAGTTATATGGAATTTTTGAATCATTGAAGTTAACGCATATGGTTTACAGATGTAATGGATGTTTCTTGACCCTGTGTTTGACTTCTGGACTGAAATGGTTAATGGATTTGATCCTGGTTTTCCTTCAATCTTTTCTTTCAATATTATATCTTGTATATATTTGTATGATTTCTTTGATCATGTCTACACTGAAATGCATAAATGATATCTACATACGTGTCAAAAAAAATTAGAAAGGAATAAAGGGTAAGAATTATTGAGCCTTGTGATTTTAGTTAGTTTTTCCTTGCTTTATTCCCCTCTTCGCTATTAACAATAAATTCATTCTGTGCAAGAAGAAAGATTAGTGCGTGATGGTAGTGAGTGCCAATAAAATTATAAAATAATCGTACGGAAATGCTACATTTCTGCGTTAATGTAACAATTATAGAAATAACATAATGTTGGTTCCAATTTTGCTTGAAACTGAGCCATTAAGCAAAATAGCTAAGAAAATACATCTATTTTTCTATATAGAGCTTTGACATATATAGTAGTATCAATCTCTAATATCTAATATATAATCTAAAGCAGATTAAGTTATATCAACCTAAAAAATAAGAAAAAATTCCAACTGCAGATCAATGACAAAACAAGAGAAAATTACACAAAATACAAATCATGTAAAATGGTGGTACTGGTGTCAATTTTATTTAAACACATTATTGAGCTTATTGGCCATATTCGCTCGGATAACTACATCAACCTATGACAAGATAGTCGTACTTATTTTATGTACTTTTATACGAGTCAACAATGAGGTGTATAAACCCCAATGAGCTTGTCAAAACTTATTCTAAAATCTCAGCATCATTCAGCACTGAACTTTCTTGAATCTGACTTAACAAATGCTTCACAAGCTTTAGTTTGGAGCAACTACCTGAAAATCAGCAATCTATGTTAAAATACAAAGCATAAAAAAATTTAATGATGTCTAATATATCACATAACTTATGTTGCAAATTTCATCAAAACTAGGGCATATTCTGCTTTATCCGCCACCTCTAAAACCCTAATTGCTAACTGAATAATTTGCATTCACAAGGACACCTGCATTACAAGTGGGCCATTCCGACTTAATTTGGTTAAACATTCCTATCCATAATTAAGCTTCCAAGAAACACATCAAGGAGAGCATTGTTTACTTGATTCAATGAATTTTTCGTTCTTCATAGGTGTTTATAGTTTTTAGCTGAATGAAAACTAAGAAAGTTGAATGAAGAACAGAAGCCTTTTATACAACTGTTTTCATATCCATGAAAAGTTTTCATGTAATATAGCTACATGACTGAAGCATGTAGTTAAAATTATAATAATAGTAAAGTAAAATAACTCATGCAATAGCAACGATCAAGCCTTGTGTCATTTTGGAGGGGCAACTAAACATATATTCCTTTTCTAAATGCTAGTTTAGTCAGATAAATGTTTGTTAGTTGAGCAAGACCAAAATATGCCAAAAAAAGGGAGAGCAATAATGTTCATTTAAATAATTCAGCATCGTGTGATGATTTTGCTTATTAATTTTGATGTGTAAGCTTATTCCAATAGTGCCAATTCTTGGCTGGATCAATCAGGTTAAATTTGGGAGACCATTTGAAGATTCTGTGTCCCACGTACATAAAATTTGGTTGGAAGAAATAAATCAAATGAAATTATTAATTCCTTCTACAACATGGCTATAGTTTTCTTTTCTATGGCAACCTAACTATGTTACTTGTAACCATAACCTAGACAAATTAAAAAAGAAAACACATCACTACCCAATTTTCATAGATGAACCAAATAGAAAATTACATTATTTGTTTTCAATTATTACTAGCTGAGAAAGTCTTCAAAATAGTATTTTACTGGTGTGTGACATACTGTGTAACTGGAACAGGGTAGAAAATTTCTAAAAGTAGATTGCTTGCTTTACGAGTACCCTATTAATAATAATATGAAAAGAATAACTAGACAGAATGTGTTTTCACAATAAAAGAAAAGTACCTACCAAAAAATTAGATGGAGGATGGTAGAACTCATGAATGACTAAAATCATTTGAAGACTAAGTTTTGACCTGATGATTGATCAAATGACATGATATCTTCAGCTGCACATTATATGAAAGAAAGCTGCTCAAAAAGATAAATGATTGATCAAACAAGCATGAATTGTTTTATAAGGGACGACTAAGTGACAGAGTATTCTAAAAATTCAGAGACCAAAAGGAGGAACAAATTTTCTCTAACCTTCACCAAAACAAATCCTCTTGTTTACTTTGAACAATGGAGCATGGAGCACACCTCAGGTCCAATATTCTTCCATTTGCCTACAATATATGGATGAGACAGACAAGTAGTAATAAATCACATGGTCATAAACATGTGTTCGGATTGGCTTATTTTGCGTTGAAAATATCATATAATCACATCAGAAATCTTTTGAAAACAAAGAAAAATTTAGGTTACTCAAACATGCACTTATTAACAATGCAAACAAATCTCTGCCTCCTCACTTGATCTCCCCATCTCCCTGCTCCTTTCTTTTGCTTTCTATCTTCTCACCAACCTAATTTATTGGTCCCTGTTGTAGTGTCTCTTTACACTGACACTTGTCATGGGATAAGATCAATATCTGATGTGTCTTCTCTGCTTTCTAAAAAACTTAATATCAGATGTGGAAATTGACAAGAAAACCCCTACATATGGTAGTTAAATCCAGATTTGAATAGTGAATAAAAAAACCTATTTTTTGAATTGTGAAGTGAATCGTAAGATTCATGGTTATTGCTAAAACAATAATAAAAATTAAATATATCTATATATTGACATTTTATAATCATATACATTATTGTATAACTAATAAAATGAAACATAGTATAAAGATTCAAGACACATTAATGACACTAAAAAAGTTGTAACTACATAAATCATCCATATAAAATGGGGAAGACAAATATAAAATAGGACCATTAGCTCCCTCTATAGCAAACATATTAGCAGGATTATGAGTTCAATGAATTACAGAGGTTAGAAATTCTTGGAATTCATATTAAAACAAAAATAGTAATTTTAGAATTAAAAATAATATTTTAAGGAAAAATATCACAATTTAAATAATTAAATCATAACAAGGGTTGCTTTGAAAACCTTTATATTCTGGCTCTACTTAAAACCTTCAAAATCAAAAGTAATTTGACAGAAATGTCAGCATACCTAATATGATGAAAGTTTTCAGCTTCTAAAAAGTTATGGTACATGGGCTCCTGAATCTCATCACTGTGAATCATGAAGAAACTTAAATCACCTAGCAATCTTTGCCATGATCAAAAATAGAAGCAGAAGTAATTAAGTTCACCAGCACATCATCAAATTCCTCAATTTCACCAGAATCTCGTAATTGACTATAAGAACCAGCCATGAGTTTTGCTATAAAGTCAACCAACTTCCACAAAGAGAGATTATAAGCCATTTTGATTATTTTAATGGACAACTTCCTGGAAGTATCCAGACGAGACATAATCACATTCAAGCAAGGTTCTTCAATATTTTCCAAAATCCAGAACTCGGCAAGCCAACAAATCTCCACATACGGTTGTAGATTTAATAGCTTTTCTTCATCATCCATATTATCCCATAAACATCCAGAGGGAGGATTAGGCAGCTCAGCAGAATAAAACCACTGTACTAGTTTAATCAATGCTTCCCAGCTAATATCAACCTTTATGATTTGTGAATGACTGCAAGAATGAATAACATTTAAGACAGGTCCTTAGGGGAATACAGAAATTAAAGCAAACAGAGAAGGCTTGGATAGTTTCGTATCAAACATAGAAAATCCTTGCTTATAACTTCCAAAGATGTCCAATGAAGTTAACTTAACAAAGCAAACCAAGATGACAACAGATTAAATTAATTATTACTCAGTGAGTTTCCAATTAGTTCTTAGATTAAATTATAATTCAGTGAGTTTCCAAATACCATTTTATTAGAATATGCCATAAAGAGAATGGTCAACAGAGAATTTTTTACCATGTATGTCTGCCTTTTTTACCATGTACATATTCTTTAATTTTTCATGGGCTCCTGCTTCAATAATAGGCAAAGCTCTTCATTTAGGTCAAATTAATCAGGGTCCCTAAACTATTCGGGAAATTTAAAATAAGTCCCTATACTTGAAAGTTTTGCAATTATAGGTCTCTAAACTTTTAAATCATTTTCAATTGGATCCTTGCGTTAAGGTTCCACTAAGTATAGGGACATAATTAAAAATTATTAAATAGTTGAGGGACCAAATTACTAGTGTTTAATTATACACAAGTCCCTGAACTATTTAAAAAATTTTAATCAGGTCCCTGTACTATGCAGAACCTTATCAGAAAATGTTGTCAAGGACCCAATTAAAAAGTTCATGGACCTATATTTACAATCGTTTAAAGCTTAGGCACTAAAAAATCTCCAAAAGTTGAGGGACCTACAGATTAATTTAACATTTGATTTAAACTTTTGGGGCCATTTTCATCATTTGTATATTGAAAAACTGTAAAATACATAAATTAACAATTTCTTGATCAATAATCACCTTTCTTGCATTCCTGACCGGAATAAACCTTGCAAATAATCAGAGCCAGACTGCAATATAACTTTGTGAGCATGCAAATGGGGTACTATGTGGGAACAAATGTCGCATGTCCACCCAGTAAGTTTATTTGATTTAGCTTCCAATATGACATCCCTGGAAAGAGAAATTGACAAAATCAGAATTGCTTTCCCAAATTCTTCAAACAAATGTTAGCAATATCACTGTTTCTATTCTTCATTGTGCATAAACCCTTTACTTTCCTTAAATCACAAGGCAATGAATATCTAATCAATAAACAAGCTCCAATCAGTAAGTTTGCCTAATAGTTATTTCACCATATACTTTATGATACAATTGCATACAATTGCATTTAGCAACTGCTTCCAAATTCAATAATCCTTTGAGCAACTCAACCTAACTCTACTAGAAAAACATTGAATGAAACTAAAGCTATTAATTTGCACATTAATGGACAGATTACAGGAAATAAAGATGAAAATAGACAAAAATGAAAAAGAAAATGTTTGTTAATTTGTGAATTAACAAACTCACATGCAATCTCAAGATATTTATAAGTAGCTAATCAAGAAGCAAACCATACGAGAAGCAACTTCCAGCTGAATAAAGAGATGAAGTAAGATTGAAGTTGGGGAAAGGCGTGCCCCACTTTGGACGTTGTCTACAAAGCATTTGCAAGAAAGGTTGTTGATTGCAGCGCTTAGCAAGAATTTTCAGTTTCTCAACAGTTTCTTCTCCTGTCTTTAAGCATCCCAAGTATACATATTGCAACAGCAACGCCAATGCTTCATAATCAACATGAGGAGATAACCGAAATTCTTTCACAGTCTCTTTGACAAACTTATCTGTTACCTCTTCAGAACTCTTGCCACTGGGTAACAATTGAGGAGGCAGCAGTGATGGACATCGAACAGCAAGAATAACACCATGAACATTCACAGAAACCCCATTTGCTACAATGAGTTGCATATCTGAGCATTCTTCTTTATTAAGATATTTCCCAATCCGTATGGCGAATTCATTTGGGAAACCATAAAATCCAAAATAACTTAAAATATAAGCAGCATACCATCTCACTCCATGACTGAAAGAGTTGCTACTACAGATCTCATGAAGTTTGCTAACTAACTGACCTTTAATGTCCATAACCTCTGTACAAAATTGCTGAGGATTATCTGGTAGAAGGCCACACTGATGAAGAACATCAGCTAAGCCCCACAACCCATAAAATAAGAGAATATTGGAACCTTCCCAATCTTTATGAATAGAGCAACAAGACCTTTCATGGATTGTTGTATACAAATAAGGGGTGAAGCTTGGCCTTTCCACATGAATTTCATTACTTAAGCATCGTTTCACAAGAAGAACAATGGCCTTTATTCCCTTGCTCTCAGTGATACAGCTTTGATACTGTGGTAAACTTGCAAGACATGTTATTCCAATTAAATTGACAACCATTTGAAGTTTATCTAATGTCCCATAGCTTTCTAGGGATGATGAATAATGTAGGGTATGCATTAACTTTCTGAAGAAGGACAAGCTTTTCAACTTCAGTATATCTGATAATACAAATCTAGCATGCGAAGAGATGTGATTACATGGAGAATGAATCATCATTAGAACAGCCCTTGATATTGGTTCACTTTGAAAATGATCAACAATATCCTTTAGAAATATTCGGCACCATTTTTCAAGTGTATCCACAAAAGTCAAGCTGTAGACAAAGAGGAAATAAGAATGAGTAAATTTGGAGAGCATCAACACAATGAAGGTGTATCAAACATTCAGCTATAAAAATTTCAGAAATATAATCAACAGTAGTAGTAAGAAAATGAGACACAGGACACATTATAACATCAATGTGTATCCCCATGTTAAAGCCATCAAGAAATGATATGGAAGGAATTCAATTACCATGCACATGTAATTAGAAAGTTGATCTGGAGCTGAGTTCCATGGATCTGAGGGTTCAAATTTTCTCCACAATGAAATGTAAGCCACCCAAGAATGTCCCACAGATAATTTGTACCAAGACGATAATTGGCTTTTAATCTGTTTTGTGCCACGGATATTTGCTTTTCCAATGACAAGGCAGGTTCAGACGATAGGTCTTGCTTCTCTTGAATATTTTCAACCAGAAGATTAATAAGGGCTCCAGCAATTCCTTGTTTCCAAAAGATGGTATGATGATCACCAGCCCAACGAGTTATTAGAGCCAACCGGCATGCTTCCTCTAATAAAGAACCATGGTTGTTACCAACTCTTTTAGAACTTGGCCCTGTTTTTCTCATCCCACAAATTATGGCATCAACAAGTGCATCACCACAAAAGCCTACCACTTTTACACAATTCTCTTGTGATCTCTGAACAGATAAAATCAGTCTTTGTTAGGAACAATACTATATATTACATGTTATGTTAGAGAACAATGAACTGTTACCAATAAACATTGAGCAAGCCTAAATCCCTCTATTCGAACAACATGAGGGTTTGATTCTCCCATCGCCTGCACAACCATTTGTAGAAATGCTTCTCCATCCTCTAGAAGCTTTCTTGCTACAGAGTCACATAATGCTGGTAACAAAAATAGTAACTTAATTTATCTAAATACCTGAGAACAGAAGATAATGTTGAGGAGGAGGGTGGAGGGTTATTTTAATACCTAAAGATGTGTATAGCCTTAAAAGTGCAATTTTAATAGAACTATCGGTCCTTGTATGCATGTTTGCTAAACCTTTCATCAGTTTAACATCATTAAAAACAGGGAACCTAGATGGAGGCCACCGCCACAGTATCATGCTCAAAAGCGAAGTCATCTCTTCAAAATACTCAATTTTCTTTGTACCTTCAGCAAAATCTTTTATATTTCCAACAATACGAATAGAACTCTCTGTTTCTTTCAATGCTTTCATAACTGCCTTCTCATTTGTAGCACTCAAATTTGATATTATCAATTTTAAAGCAGTTGCACAGGGTATTGCGACTTCTACTTGATGTGAAGATAGCAAGGATGACAGACAATAAACAAGATCCAACACATGTGGTTGCAATAGTTGATTTGGCAAAACACTAACCAACTTCACTGCAACATTTGACGCCATGCTTAACAAAGACCCATTTTTGCATTGAAGAATCCATAACAATGCTCCCAAAACATCGTCAACAGATTCCTGAAGCAGTAAAGCAATGAAGGGAAGTACATACTCCAATGTTATTAAATATGTAAAACCAAATCATCTATAACAAACCATCCTGTCCACACACACACACACACATATATATATGTTCACATAGTATGACATTAGCAACTAGTTTCAAAGAGTATTAAAGCCTTACCTCAATATTCAAGAAAATGATTTCTTCTGTTTATTTATTTATTTATTGATTCTTGTAATTAACACACTGTAATTATGCCAAGTGCCGTTGACTCAAGCAAATTCATATGCAATTGACAGAACTCCAAATAAAAGGGAATAAAGAATGTACCTTAACAATAGCATGACGTAGTGCAAGTACATCTCTTGATAAGAAATCAAGAAACGCACTCATTGATCGAATAACATTCTTCTGCACTTCAATGTTGGCGCAGTGCCACTTCCATTTGCTTGTCTTTTCATCAAAATGCCTGTTGTCAAGAACAAGAACAACCCACGAATTGAAAAACCCAAAAAATTGAAACTTGAGCAAGTTCAAATGATGGGTATGTGAAAAGATAATTTAAATGAAAAAGAAGACCTGGTCCCAAGGTTTAAGAACTGGAAAAGACGGCTATGGAGGGTCTGCATATGCACACTGATGCTGTCTTTCTCTTTCTCTCTGCCAGATTTCATGGTTTCTGAGACAATTCGAGAGAGAGAGAGAGAGAGAGAGGGAGAGAGAGAGAGAGAGTATCAAAGTGAAAGAAGTTCTAAGTTTAGCTCTGCACGATTGAACACCGCCACAACGCCCCTCCTTTCAGACAAACTATATGTAGAAAGAAGCAAGACAAACAAATAAAAGCAAAATTCGTAATTCAGTCTTTTTTTTTTTTTCATTTCTTTGTTTGAATTAAATTGGATTTAATTTATTAAATAGGACTTTCAAAATTTTGTCATAATGAATAAAAAAAATTATGATTTATGCCAACAAAAGGCTGTCACAGTTGAGATTAAAATGAAAAATTATAAAATCAAATTAAAAAAAGCAACAATTTGTATAAAATAAATAAAAAATAAATGTAATGTAATAATCATTTTTTAATAATAATAATGAGTGTACAAATAAGTAGAGAGAAAAACTCAATCTCAAAATTGTGTCTATTTTATTAAAAAAATTATCATTCTTTTCAATCTAATTATAAGAAATAAATTTTTATGTATTAATTGATACAAAATATTATTATTTTTAATTATCATGAAACTTTTATTAATGAAGCACTAACTCATTATCTGTGTAACTGAATTTATTTATTAATAAATCATTAATTTTATTATTTTTAATATGATATTTTTGAAATACACTATAAATTTACGATTGATAGTTAATTTTATTGATATTAATGAATTATTTATTTATTTTTTACAAAAAAGACTAAAAAATTATTTAAAAATAAAAAAATTAATTAAAAATAAAATTAATTATATCATCAATAATATGAAATTATAAATTAATTAATTTAAAATTTATTATTATAATAATTTTTAACAAATTAATAATATAAGAATCTTTATATTCATGATGCATTAAAATTAGGATTTGGTTAACCTATCTAAATACAGTAAGAATTTATTCAAAATTAACATTTTTATTAAATTGAAAATATAAAAGTGTAGAATAAATTTAAATTCTGATATTTTTTATTCAAAAAATAACTCTAATTACTAAATTTTAAAACTATTAAATGAATTTTTTATTTTTAAGATAATTAATACATTTTTATTAATGATTAATATCTAAAATAATAAAACATTATTAAAAATGTTAGTAGAATGATAAAATAAAGATGAAGAGTAATAAATGCTTATTATTATTATTATTATTATTATTATTATTATTATTATACTGCTAATTATTTAAAATTAACTCAACTTTAAAAGTTGAGATTATAAGTTTTTAAAAATTAGTATATTCTTGAGATAACAATTTTATTTAGTATTACTTTATAAAACAATATGAATATATTTTTAAAAATATATAAATAAATATAACAAAGTTTAAAAATATAATAAATAATTTTTAATAAAAATTTATTATTATTAATTGCTTAATATCGTTTTTAGTAATGTAACACCGTCTTCTCATTTTTTAGTAAATTATATTTATTTAATATTAAGTAACATTAGAATGCATTTAGAGAAAAATATAAAAGATTTTTTGTAAGAGTTTTGATGCAGAAGATATCGCTTAGGCGAGGTAAATCTCGCCCAAGCAAGATTGAGCGTGCAAGAATATCTTGCTGCAGGGCTATCTCGCTTAAGCGAGATAAGATAAATGTTGCCCAACTGTCACCTCGCTCGGGCGAGATGTAATCTCGCTCAAGCGAGTTGGGTTTTCGTTCAGGCGAAATAGGTCGCTCAGGCGAGATTGAGCGTGAAGGAGCTCGCTTAAGTGAGCATATTAGAAAAGAGAGTGTGAGATCATTGTCTACATATCTCGCTTAGGTGAGATGTTCGTCGCTCAAGCGAGATGTCGTCGCTCAAGCGAGTTGTTCCTTGTTCAAGCGAGAACGCGCGATGCTAAGGAGTATTTAAAAGATTTTCTGCATGAGAAATTCATTCTATTTCAAACTCACGTCTCTCTCTCAAGTTTTCTCCAAACTCTCTCTTCCTTTCACCCAGATAAAAGCCTCAAAAACTCCAATTCCTCTTCAAAGTTAAGCTTGGACGTTGAAGTTAAGTGACTCCGAGTAAGTTTCTTCGGATTAAACTTAAGTTTCTCCGATCGTTTTTCTTGTTTTTGTTTCTTATGGATATCTCTTGGTATTCAAGAGAACCTCTATAGTTGACCCTTGATCATTTTCAATATATTTTTGAGGTAAGGAGAGCTTTATTTTATTGTTACATTACAATTTTATTTTATGCCCATAGAGCACTATTATGTAAATATGGTATGAGAATAGATGGTTGAGATATCTTTTGTGTGAATAATGGATGAAAAGATGTTTGTTTGATGAGTTGGACTGTTTAGTTGTTTAGACTAACTGGTTGGTACATGTTCATATGTATAATGTGAAATATTATGAAATTTGCTGAATGATTATTATGAGATTCTGTGTGAAATATGTTTGGATAAAATAATATTGATAAGAAAGAAGTTAACAGTTATGATTGTAATAATAAGTGTATGAGTGAAATGGAATTAGAATGAATCTTATGAATAAGTCTGAGAATGACCTAAGAGTCAGATATGGATGAAATCTAGTGTGATAGTTATAAAGATACAATAGGGTATAGAGTTCAGAAACGATGAAAATCTAGGAGAAACGTAGGGTGGTGAGCGACATTCGCGTATGTGTAAACACTCTTTCTGAAAATGAATGTGTCACATGACTTCATACTCGTTTCTTGACTAGACTCTTGACTATGCCTTTACTAAGGGACCCGATTATTGTACATGTTGTATCTGTATGCATAGGCTAACCGGCGACTATTTATCTAGTTGAGTAAGATCTTGAGAAGTGTTGGAGGCATCGATATTTGTGATCATAGTGCATTGGGAGTGCGTGTTGGAATAAAAGGAAGGAAAATGAATAATAAATTATTGAATGTTATGTGTGATGTGAATGTGTTTGTAATATGAATTCATGAAATTGAATGTGTTGTATTTACCTTAAAATTATGATTTTATGTTAAAAGTTTGTAAATGATAGAAAAGATGCTCATCCTTACTAAAATTTTCAAGAAACCAAGATGACAGAGTCTCAGGAAAAAATTAGATTAGTAGATAGATCCGTACATTTTAGGCTTAATTATGTATTTAATGAATATCAAATAGTATGTTATTTTAAATTTGTTGTACTTGTAGAATACGAACCTTGGATTTTTGTTATGATAGAGATGTATTTCTCTTGTAGTATTCCTTTTGACTTTCTTAGGAATAGAATACACCAGACTTTATGTGTATATATGTATAAAGGTACGATTAGAACTTCAACAACCCTCACTTATCTTTTTACCTATCACGACCACGATCATCTCAAAAGACCGATCCGATGGACCTTTGAGTATGTTACTGACACAAAAGTTAGAGCTAATTCGGGCGATCGTTATCTGGGTGTAGATGATGGTCTAGATTCAGAGGATCTGGCTGAGATAGAGAGCTGACACGGGTTGATGAATAGGACCAATCTTCAGTGTTGGTGTATGAGTTGAGACTGTTCTGAGTTATAATTTTGCATATATGATGTAATTATTTTGGTGATGTAATTATTATTCTAAGTCCCATATATTTTGACAAATAGTTTGTAAATTATTATACTCGATATATAAAATGCATGTACAATATCTTAAATTCTGAATTTTGATTATGTTTAATACAACAATTAAAATTTTATCTTACTATTTTTACTAATCAAAATAGAAATATTTGTACAAATTACTATATTGTGACAAAGACTTCATTAAGTAGTCATAATAAAACTCACTATACACAAATTTTGTATTTTACATCAAATTATAAAATATAAAATATACATTATACAAAATTTTGATATAAAAATTTTACAAGTAATACGGACTCGTAATTCATAGTGTTTGAAAAACTTGTTAAAATAACATTTAATTTATAACTTATAGCTATTAATAATTTTCTTTCATTCATTTCATGACTTATAACTTTTCAATCTTAAAAGCTAAGATTAACTTATTCCTTCAAATTAAACTTTAAAAGAAATAGCCTATATTTTTGAAAAATATTTTTATATTCAAAATGTTCCTAGAGTAGAATTATTGGTTCCTCCCCTCTTAAAAATAAATAATCTATATTACTTGTTACCAGTCATCGGCATTGATAAGGAGAATAAAAATTTTAAATAAATCTTAATTGAATAAATAAAATATTTTATTTTTTAAAATTTTAAAAATTTAATAAATATTTTTTTTAATCTTTTACTTTGAGTTCATTTATTTTGGTTTTAAATTTATGTTTTAATTATCTTTTATATTAATATATGATCATATTTTAAAATTCAATACTATAGAAAGAAATTATTTTCTATAAAATTAAAGATGCATAAAATATTGTACAAATTTTATAAACTAAATTAAATGTCTAATTTATTAAATTACAAAGATTAATCTAATTTTTTTAAGTACATCAATTATTAAGAAGGGAATTTAAGGTTCACAAGTTAATCATGGATTTAATGAGCAAAATTTTCAAGCTTTGTAAGAGTGGCAAAGAGGGTAGCCCGCTCCATCTCATTAAAAGTTAGTAAAAAAGTGAGTTAATTTATACATATTCTTTAGGGCTATATATCTTAGAATAATCAATTCAGGAGAAGGTTAGTAAGTTGACTTGTTTAAAGATTAAAAGATAACAGGTCTATTTGTCTAAAATTAATATAAAAAATTATAAAAATAAGTACAAATTAATAAAACAATAATTAAAATAATAAAACATATAATTAACTAATAAATAGGAATATTTAAAATTTTTTAAAAACGAATTATCCACTTGACCATCTTTATTGTGTTTGTAATAATTTCTTTTACTTTTTGAATACATGGATTTTTTTAATTTTAAATAAAGAACTTTAAAATAAAATAAGTATTTATTTTATAACTTAAATATTATTAATAATATTTTTTTTATTTTTTATAGTCTCGTGTTTTATGTAAATATCTATCCTTATAATTTATATATTGATTACTTTTTAAACAAATTTTCATCTCTTGTTTTAATAAACATTTACTAATTTTATTTAACTTTTTCATTTGACATTAAGACGTTAATGTGT